CTCCCCCTTCCTAAAGCCATCTTTGGATGAGGAAACAGAAAAGAGAGTCCTAAACTGCAGCCAAGAAACATGAAGTCGGTCCCCAATTGACCCTGTGACCTTGGGTGGGCACTTAGCCTCAGGAGGCTTTGGTCTCATGTCCTCTAAAGAGAGGGAGTGGAATCCAAGTTCTCCAAGGTCCCTTTCCACTCACACATTCTTAGATTCTAAATGGAAAGAAACTATCTGCCTCACATGTTGTTGTGAGGAGTAGTGAACATGCTGGAGCCACTTGGTTTTAGTCGATTCTGTGATAGGGCAAGGTGTCCTCATGATGGAAGCATGTTCCTCAGAGTGCCATGCACAGGTACCTCTTCTAGGTAAGAGGATGGGAAATGTCCCCCAGGTAGTGTGAACTCTTCAAATTGGAGGACTCAACAGTTAAGTACCCTTTTCGAAGGAATGAACGTCTTAAACTCCAAGAAATAAGCAAATCTAGTTCTGTCCTTAAAGCTTTGCTGGTCCCTGTAGGTCTTTGCTTTAGGCTGGCTCTTGGAACCCTGAACCCTGAAGGAAGGTGCGGAGCTGGAGCCCCGGTCTTCACAGAGCACTCTGCCTCTCCCTCCGAGATGCAGCCAGCCGCCTTATGCTCTGAGCATAGTTTGGTTGATATTAGAACCTTATAGTGTATCACTCAGCCTATTGGAGAAATGACTATACTCACACATGCACATAGCTTGTCTAACAAAACTCAAAGTCTGAGTAAATAGAAGGACAGAAAATTGCAGGCTGCCATCCTGGCCCAAGTAGCTGGACATTCCGGTTTCCCAGTCTTTCTCAGGGCCTAGAAGACACAGAACGTGGGAACTGAGCTGCAGCATGGAGGGGCAGCTCTGATCTGAGATCAGAGACTGGAGGGAAGGGGTTAATACCTGAGGCATTTCATATTCTAAGTCCTTTTATCTCTGGTTTGACAGAATTAAGGAAAAGTGTTACATGGCCTTTTTAGCATTGTTTTTTGTTCATGTTCTTGATATGGCACTTTGCAGATCGTGAGTCATGCTAAAAGACCAACCATATGGTCACAAGGGTGTTCCCACCTGTTTGTTTTTCTGTGGTGACATTTTGTCCTGCCTTCTGAAAATGGCCCACATCTCAAGAGTTCTTGTGTTATTAGCTCAGTTATCATCAAGGGCTCTTTTTTATTTTACATTTTATTATTCTTTAATTTTTTTATCTTTCAATTACAGTTGACATTGAATAATCATCAAGGGCTTTTAAATTTTGTCTTCCTTCTTACTATATTCTCTATGTCTTTCTTTAATGCTGTTTCTAAACCGACGATTGACAAAATCCCACTGCCCCGATGCTGTACGTTTTCTCAGGGGTTGCCACAGAAATAGAATCTTGTGGATCCATCCTATCAATGATGTAGAAAGTGTTAACAACAACACAAAAAAAGCACTACCACTTACAATCACAGTGAAATTCTACCTAACTTATTCCTAATTAGTAGTCTGAACTATATCGGTTAGTTTTCTCTTAACAGAAATCATTTAGCTCCAATGTGTTGTAGCCAGAGGTATGCTTTCATTGGCATTTGACTGTGGTTGGAGAATGCTTAACGCCTGCCATTTGGAGGCATGCTGAACAAGTTCCTTTGTGAAGCGGAAAGCGTCCTTAAGGAGATGTTCTAGATCTTTAGCGCTAGGAATAGCTTCTGCAGGCTTATGCTCTGGACTGAATTGCATATGGTTACCCTGTATCTTGTTGCTGATGAAGATTGACATTTATAAGTACCAGATAAATACCTTGTTGGTATCAGTCCCAAAGTTGCAGTTCGGAGTCAAAGCTTAGTTTTTTTTCTTTCTGGGTGTTATTGATAAACTCAGCCATTTGAGTTCCATGCTATCGCTCATGTGGCATTTTTGGTTATGCTTATCTGTTTATTTGTTTCTCCTTTTTTCTTTTTTTTGGGAACATTTTTCATCTCTCTTCCTAGCAGATTCAGGCCCCAGGAAGACAACAGCCAAAGGCTCAGACAACTCCACCTCCTGCCACCCAGGGGCAGAAACTTGGATCGCTCACTCCTCCATCCTCCCCCAAGACCCAACGTGCCGGGCACAGGCGGATTCTCAGTGATGTAACCCACAGTGCAGTTTTTGGGGTCCCTGCCAGCAAATCAACCCAGCTGCTCCAGGCAGCTGCAGCTGAGGCCAGTCTCAATAAGTCCAAGTATGTGATGCTTCCTCCCCCTTTATCCTTCTTACTTGGTGGGCACGGTCTGCCCTGGGCTGTTACTGTGTGATTCTTTGCATATGTGTGTAGATGTGTATTTAGCAATGTGTGTCTGTGTTTAATAAGAAACTGAATTAGCCTGTAGTGCATAAACCATACTGATCTTCAGAAATAATTTCCTACTTGGCCTCACTGTTTCCATTCTGTCATCCATTCCATGCTCTACAGAGTGTTTTCTAAACTCTTGATCCAACCGAGTCTCTATGCTGAAAATCTTTCACTGGCTTCCCATTGCCTGTGGGGTAATACGTGAACTCACTGGGTAACAGCCCAAGGCCTGTTGTATCACATTGGTGGACCTGCCATTCTCCATCTTCACAAGCACTTAGTTCATCCTGTGCTCTCTCCCTTAACTGCACTGTTCCTCTGTGTTCACCAAGAAAAATGCTTGTTTATTCATCGAGACCCATGTCAGAGGTTACCTTTTCTTGGACCCCTTCTCTGGTGTCATATGTACTTTTCTCTGAATGTTTTTTTGAGCATGTTTCGCATTGCATTATCATTATTTAAGTGTATGTCTGTGTGAGTATGTCTAGCTGACCTAGCCTGAGAGTTCCTTCAAGACAAGGATCATGTCTTAGTCAACCTTTGTAAACCCAGTGCCTGGCNTGGGATCCAAACCGGGGCCCTCTGGCGTCCCAATCCAGCTCTTAATCAACGCGCCACTCAGCTGGCCCCCAAATCCCTTTTTAAGAGGCATCACTTCTATGATTGGGAGGTCATTTATTAGCTTCTGTTATACTCCAGCACGTGGAGTCACAAGATGTGTAGCCAGAGGAATACCCTCAGGCGCAACATAGAAGCCCACCGTGAGGCCAGTCTGCAGTGCAGGAGGCAGCATAGGGATGGGGTTGGAGCCCAGCACTGTCAGGCGCTGCTGTGTTTATTTTAATGCCCTCAGGTTCCCCTCATGAGTTTCAGGCTGAGCTACAAGACTTCTCCTTGCGCTTTCCTTTGGCTTCAGCACTGGTCTTAGTTGTTACTGAGGTATTCACAATATTCTGAGACAGGCTTCCCTATTCACCTCCTCATTTCTTGCCACTTTCTCCTGCTCAGTTTCAGGCAGTACACCCAGCAACCCAGCAACCAGCAATTGCCCAGTTCCCTGTGGTGTCCCAAGGAAGCTCCCAACAGCAGCTGATACAGAACTTCTACCAGCAGCCGCAACCGCCGCAGCCACAGCAGCAGCAGCCACAGCAGCAGCAGCAGCTGGCCACAGCCTTGCATCAGCAACAGCTGCTGACTCAGCAGGCTGCCTTGCAGCAGAAGCCAGCTGTGGCAGCAGTCCAGCAGCCCCAGGTGCAGCCGGCTGCAACCCCACAGCCGCCCCCTGCGCAGGAGCCAGCGGTAAGGACTAGCCAGTGCTCCGAGCACAGTAGACGAGCACACAGTGAGGCTGTGGGAAAGAGGCGGTAGCAGATGGTGTGGTGGCCTCTGGACTAGGACTAGGCGGCTTCCCCATCCTTGTGGTTAAAATATTTGATCTTTCCTTGGTATATCCTAGAGTGGCATGAGGCATTCTGTAGATGGTAGAGGTTTTAAAAAAATGATTCTAGGCCACTGATGAAGATGAACATCCTTATTTATCACTTGGAAAGTAGGCTGGCAGAAAGAGCTGTGCATTGTCTCTTGTGTTGAGCAGCCAAGGACCTTAGTAAGATAAGTGTTAATCCTTTTCCCTTAGTCAAGGGGTAGTTTGACCACTGCGGCCCCTTCAGTCTCCAGAGGTTTATGTAAGCCCCGAAGTTTACTCCGAGTACTGACAGTGTTGTGTTTATTCTTTGTCTTGGACGACATGACTGGCCACCTCAATGACTCGTATGTCTGCCACACAGCACCCCCAAGGGCCTGCTGGCCCAGGACCATCTGCCGTGGCCTAATCCCTCTGGACACCAGAGCATCTGAGTACTTTTGAGTCATCTTGTCAGTTTAGAAATTGGGCATGTCTACTGTTCAGATGTTGTCTGAGCATAGCATCAGAACCCCTGCATCCTCTCCTGACTGACCCCCATTGTTTCCGCGTCATCATACACATTGTGTTTTGGCCTTTAATAAGTGCCCTTAATTCTGTATTCATTGTTTTCTGAGTGATGGTGCTAGATTATTTTATGGTGATAGAAAAAGACATTTTACATACTCATCCAATGGAGTATTACAGCTACTCTCTTATTCCCAGGGAAGTCCAACTACTAGACGAACGAAGGAAAAGTAAGAAACCATCTTTCTGAGGACTGATTTCTAATAGAGTTTTGTCGCCCATCTTAAACCAGAAAACCTACATCCCTTCAAAAGGAAGCAGTACCGTAAATAGATTGCCTTCTTTAAGTCTCAGCTAAGTGTGTGTACAGTGTCTTTACACCTTCGTTTCCGAAACAACTCAGCCTTCCTGCAGGCGTGTGATAGACTAGCTACTCTGTATTTTTAGCAAGAGATTAAGTTCCTCTTGTTAAGAGAAAAAGGATTT